AAGGTACAAGGTGAACTTAGGACACATGATGGAATGCAAGGAAGCCTTCAAAGGCTAGTGGGATTATATAAAAATAACATAGTAGCCAATATGAAGGGGCTCTTATTGGCTAAAAATGAAAAAAATCTGAACATTAAATAAAATGACGGCAATTTATAGAAATATACCAAATATATATATTTTTAAAACCCTAAGAGTTCCTTGAGAAGCCCTGGTGGTGCAATGGTTAACGCTTGGCTGCTAGCTGAAATGTCGTCGGTTCAAACCCACCAGCTGCTCTGCAGCAGAAAGATGTGGCAATCTACTTCTGTAAAGATTATAGCCTTGGAAACCCTATGGGGCAGTTTTGCTCTGTCCTACAGGGTTGCTATGAGTCGGAATTGACTCAACAGCAGCAGGTTTGGTGTTTTGGAAGAGTTCATAACAGTGTTCAAAAAGAAAAAAAACAAAGTCTATCACTTTTGGAAGTAATCAGGGTATGAAATCTTCTCTGAAAATCAGAAATTTAAGAGAAAAAAATCAAGAATTCATCCTGCTTTTCCTGTACTAACTGTATTTCAGGGTAACCAAATAACCCTAGTTAATGAGGGAAAGTTCTGCTTTATAAAAGAATTCCAGCTAACAATGTATGTGGGGGGGAAAAAAATGGACAGGATTAGGAAATTACTACTTTGCAACCCTAATGAAAGAACTGATTCAGGCAGAGCTCGTCAGTAGATGGAACCATTCAATGGAAAGCTGATGGGAACTCTGCACTGTAGGGGTCAGCTGTCACCACCTGAACCACCCAACACTGCTAGAAGGGCAACAACCAGATGTCATGTACCTCCTGATGTGAAGCAAAACGAAGCTTAGGGCACACTTATCAAGTGTTCTTGCCAGAAAGTTTAATCTGAACTGAATCAAGGTTTTAGAGGCAACTTCCAGTTTACAGCGAACAAGAGGGAAGGGTAGGTAGAGGATCAAGTTAAATGACTTCATGAGGAAGCAAAGAGAGAAATTCTGAATGTGGGACCATCTATGATGACTGGCCCAGTTTCTTCAACAAGTCAGTGACATAAAAATATAAGTGTTGGGTGTGGGGGGGCTGCTCTACATTAAGAGGGATTTAGGAGACATGACAACCACATGCAATATGCAGACCTTGTTTGCACCCAATTTCAAAACAAACCTACAAAAGACATTTTTAGACTATCAGTGAAATTTGAAAATGGATTGATTATTCAGCAATATTAAGAAGTGATTATGAATTTTTTGGAGTGATAATAGCATTATGATTATTGAAAAACATGCCCATAATTTTTAGAGATCACAATCAAGTATATAAAGATGAAAATAATATGAGGTCTGGAATTTGCTTTAAAACACTTCAGCAAAGACAGAGAAAGCAAAAAGGATAGAAGAATCAGCGGATCTAATTTGACGAGTACGTGAATATCCATTATACTACTGTCATGGATTGAATTGTGTCCCCACAAAAATATCTGTCAGCTTGGCTAGGTCATGATTCTATCTATCTATCATTTTGTCATCTGAGGTGATTTCCCTATGTGTTGTAAAACCTATCACGATGATGTAACAAAATGGATTATCAGCAGTTATACTGATGAGATCTACAAGATTAGACAGTGTTTTAAGCCAATCTCTTTTGAGATATAAAGAGAGAAGCCAGCAGAGAGACATGGGGAACTCATACCACCAAGAAAGCAGTGCCAGGAGCAGAGTGCGTCCTTTGGACCTAGGGTTCCTGTGTGGAGAAGCTCCTAGAGTCCAGGAGAAGATTGATGAGAAGGATCTTCCTCCAGAGCCGACAGAGAAAGAAAGCCTTCCCCTGGAGGTGACGTCCTGAATTTGGACTTCCAGCCTACTAGACTGTGAGAAAATAAATTTCTCTTTGTTAAAGCCATCCACTTGTGGTATTTCTGTTACAGCAGCACTAGATAACTAAAACAACTATCTTCTCCAATTTGGTACACATTTTGAAATTTTTCATAATAAAACATTAAAAAAATAAGTGAAGGTGAAGAAGACATAACAAATTCTTCCAGTCTCAAGAACAAGAGGGAAAAAAGCTGTTTTACTCTCCTAACAAGTTATCAGACATATGTAAAAAATACTAAAATTTATAAGAAAAAAGATCACCTTAAATTTATCTTGATTAATTATAAGAACACAGATGAAAAAACAGATTCAACCCGACACTAGCAGTATTTACAATTGCAGGTATATAACAGTATTGTCTGAAGAAATTAGGAAGTCAATCAAAGCTATCTGGAATTAAGCTGAAATAAAATTGTAGTACAGCTTCAATCCAGAGTGACTGGCATTAAGTATGATATGAAGAAATATGAAAAACGAGATGATCTCAATAGCTTTTTAGAACTCTTTATCTGCACAGGAATAAACCTAAGTGATTACATTTGGTGGGAAGACATTTCACTTTACAGGGTGACATCTTGGCAATATCTCCAATGTGACTATAATTCTAAAATGAAGATTTCCTCAATTATTTTTGTTGATGCATGAAAAATGTGACCAAAACATGGTCAGGTATCAAGACACTCACAGGTGCAGCTGGGTAAAGCATTCCCAAGTTTAAAGAATAGCAAGTGAAGGGGGAAGCAAAACAGCTCCATTTCCTAACATCTAGCTGCTGTGGGATCTTTGGGAAATAACTCAGTTCTGCTCTATCCAGTCATGCAGAGGGCTGGCTGAAGAATTTTAATACTCAAGTTTTAATCCTGGTTCAAGGAGTCCCTGAGTGGTGTAAATGGTTAAGCACTTGACTATTAGCCCAAAGTTGGCAGTTACAACCTACCCAACCTACTCACAGGTGCCTCAGAAGACAGGCTTAGCAACCTGCTTCGGAAAGGTGACAGCCTTGAAAACCCTATGAAGCACTCCTACTCTGCACATGTGGGGTCGCTGTGGGACGGAATCCACTTGAAGAAAACTAACAACAATCACAACAATCCTGGTTCTGCTTGGTAGTCGTCATCTACCTGTGAGCAAGTCACTTCACTTTTCTAAGCCTTGGTTTCCACACTGAAAACAGAGAATAAGGTCTTTCCTTTCTATTTCACATTATTGTTTTGAATCATAAATGAAGTAACGTGGGTAGAAACACTTTGTGAACTCTGAGACTGCAAATGTAACATGTTTTCTTCTTTCCTCTCCTTTTCTCCTTCTGTGTCTTCCGTACTGTTTTTGTTATTAGTGTCACAGGTCACTTAATATTTGAAGCTTTGGGTCTTTAGCCAAAACAACCAAAGAATTTGAGGTTATTCAGAAATTGATGATTCAAGTTGTGAAATGGTCAGGGGCTCTTTGTCTTTCTCTATCTCTTGTGAATTTTAGTTATTTTCACTTTTCCACTAAGAGGCCTGAACCAAGAGAAAAAGGGCTGATATAGAAACCACTGTATAGGAGAAACTATATTGATACTGTTAGTCCTGTTCTCAAAGGGATAATGCAGTGTAATGGAGAAAACAGGAGCATGTGCCAGAAGAACTGGGTTCTAGTGATGATTTTCCTACTTGCAGGCACAGTGGCTTCAGATAAAGCACGTGACCCTTTCCTTCTAGCTATAGCTGGCTCATCTGTAAGATGAGGGGTTGGACTAGGTGACCTCTGAGTGCCCTTCCAGCTCTAACACTGTAAGAAATCATTAATCTCTCGGCAAGAGAGTCCATGAATTTCAACTCAAGCATTATGATCATCTGAACTGGCTTTTAGAAAAGTTGAGATTTTTTTTTTTTTTAACAGGAAGTACCGCCCTCTCAAAGATAAGCTGATCCTGCTTTCCATATCTTATCGTCATCGTCCTTGCTTCTGGTCTTCCTGGAAACTTCCCACTTTTCAACCTTCCACAATGCCAGCCTTAGTTCCTTGACCTTGTCTTCCAGTGAGAAAAATCAGAGTGACATTAGTCAACACACATCCAAAAACATAGCTACTGCCACATGTCTGCAAAGAAGGTCTTACTGCTTTGCCTGCTCTTGCTGACAAGTGATCTCTTTCCACCTACTTCCTCACATGTTAGAAGGTGGAGAGATATTCCATGCTGCTTTCACTATGAATTCCAGGGTCCTTTACTCCTTATGGAAACCCTGGTGGTGCAGTGGTTAAGTGCTACGGCTGCTAACCAAAAAGTCAGCAGTTCATATCCACCAGGCGGTCCTTGGAAACTCTATGGGGCAGTTCTACTCTGTCCTATAGGGTTGCCAGGAGTTAGAATTGACTCAACAGCAACGGGTTTGGGTTTTGTTTTTTTTTTTTACACTACAGCAGTAGTATCGACGACACAGGCTTCACACTTGTCATGGCTGTGCTCGCTGGAGTCTAGTGGGCCAGATCTGAGGATTACCTGGCATTAGCAGTGATTCACACTGAGCACGTGGACCCTGGTAACTCGGAGATAAGGACTAAGATAAGAATGACTATAACTTTGCATGCCCTAGAAAAGTCTTATCACTGAAGTAAGTGTGTAACATTACCGTGTAGATAACCCCCTCTGCTCCTAGCATGGGAGCCTCTCCATACTATTTGTAAAATGAACAGGAATCCTGTGGTTCTTCTCCCAGTCACCAATGAGAATGTTCACAACCTTAATATCTATGTGTAAATTACTTTGGAATAAAAATAAAAGATTGTATCTTGGTGATCATTTCATCTCCATTTTCCATAATTTCCCAATTTTCTCTGACAGCTGATGTGCACATATCTGGGCTGCATCCTGTCCTGATGTCAGATCTTGTGTCACGTAGGCCCACAACCTAATCACAGGGTCCATTACTTCAGGTGAGGTCATCTCACTCCCCTCCACCCACATGAGAACCCTCAAGGACTTGTGCCTTAGGAAAAAGTCTATGAGCATCTTAATTACACAGAAAAAAAACAAACAAAACAAAAAACCCCGAAACTTTCACTTGCACATACCCAAAACTGCCGCTAAAGAAACAGCAAAGCTCCCACCAAGGATTTCGTCCAGCAAAGGATACTGCAGGCCCGAGGCCACCGCACTGGTGCGATAACCTCCCAGGAGCTGCCCACTCTCGGAGCAGTGCCAGGAAAAGTGCTTGTCCTGTCCCGTGCTCAGCACCCACTCCAGCTCCAGGACAAACAGGATCATCGTCACTCTGCTCTGATGCGCTGAAAACCAAGACACAAGAAAACAACGCATAAAGCATCTTAAAGGAGGTTGTGAAGCACGGTCCACAACAGCAGCCTTCTCTTCTCCCCACTCCAGAGGAAGCTGAACCGTGTGACAACCATTGCAAACACAGGGTAGGTCAGTAGATCTCACAAGAGGTAGGGGGATACCCCGGTAGATGGGCATGTCAGAGTCTTTTATATGATCTTTTCTTTTTTTAAATTAATTTTTTAAAATTTTGGTGAAAGTATACACAGCGAAGATACACCATTTCAACAATTTCTACATGTATAATTCAGTGACAGTGGTTACATTCTTCAAGTTACGCTACCATTCTTGTTATCCTTTTCCACGTTATTCCACCAACATGGATTGACACAGTGGCTGCAACAATGGGCTCAGGCATAACAATTATTGTGAGGATGGTACAGGACTGGGCAGTGTTTCATTCTGTTATACATAGGGTCACTATGGGTCAGAACTGACTCAACGGCACCTAACAACAACAACCACCACCATCATTATCTTAAACTCACTGCCCCCTAAGCTTCCCATGCAACCTTTTGAGTTGCTGTTGTCAATCTGAGCTCACACAGATAATTCTTTAAAAGAGCACAATACTCAAAGCAGACATACTTCACTAATTAAAAGAAGCTATTTTTTGGTTTAAAGAAGACTTTAGGGGATAGTTTTGGCTTAAGGCTTAAAATTTACAGACTATCTCAGGGCAACAGTTTCTGGAGCTCACCAATATGACCGTGTCATGTTCGTCTGTTTATGACGTGAGAAACAACAGAATACAGATAGGACAGTACAGACTTCCAGTTCAAATCCCAGTTTCACAATTTATTGGCTGGGTGACTTTGGAAAAGCCACTTAACCATTTCCTGGATCTGTAAAATGGGGATAAAAACACCTCATAGAGGGGACAGGAAAGCTGGTAAAAGGGAACCCAAGGTCGAGAAGGGAGAGTGTTGACATGTCATGGGGTTGTTAACCAATGTCAAAACAATATGTGTACCAACTGTTTAATGAAAAACTAGTTTGTTCTATAAACCTTCATCTAAAGTACAATAAAAAAAAAGAAAAAACATCTCACAGAGTTGTGAAGATTAAATGAGCAACATATGTAAATGCATATGACAGTATTTGGCATGTATATAATAGTGCAATTCAAGTGCTAGCTGTAATCATCACCATTACTTTGAGTTTATAAAAGCTAAGAATGGAAAAACTTGGAAATGGGGACGGTTGAACAAAACAATGAACATAATGCCGAAGTGGCAAACGTTTTGTTACATATATATTACCATAATAATTTTAAAAAATCCAAGGAAAGAATGCTAGAAGTATTAAGAAGCATACTAAAGATTTTGTGCAAGTGAATTTAAAATTTCCTTATGATTTTTTTTTAATTACCAAGTGGCACAAAACTAACTGAAAAAATTTGAATCAAGAAAGACTATAAATATTGAAACTTCCCTCTACTCTTACTCCCAAGGGGGTGGGTGTGTAAAGGGAATACGGTTAGAGCTTCCTGTACATACCTCCTGTCCTTTTAAAATGCATAAATGCAAACACATATGTGCATATGCACACACACAAACATGGTCAGAGCCTCTCTAAAAAGGTGTGTTAATATTATAAATACTATCGTCTACTTGCTTTTTACACTCAGTGACATATGGTCAGCCTTCTATATATCAGTACATATAAACCTACTACATTCTTTTGAACGACTACTTAATATATAATCAGGGGTTGGCAAGCTACAGCTCCCAGGCCAGATCTGGCCTGCCGCCTGTTTGAGTGCAGTCCATGACATAAGAATGATTTTTACAGACGAACATTTGCAATCGATTTGATGATAGCAAATACTAACTTTTAACCTCAATTAATGGTTTTCTCCCTGTTATGGACTGAACTGTGTCCCAAAAATGTGTGTCAGCTTGGCTATGCCAGGATTCCCAGTACTGTGTGGTTGTCCACCATTTTGTGATCTGATGTGATTTTTCCATGTATTCTAAATCCTAACCTCTATGATGTTAATGAGGTAGGATTAGAGACAGTCATGTTAATAAGGTAGGACACCATCTATAGGATTAGGTTGTATCTTGAGTCAATCTCTTTTGAGATATAAAAGAGAGAAGCCAGCAGAGAGGAGAGGGACCTCATGTCACCAAAAATGAAGCGCTGGGAGTGGAGCATGTCCTTTGGACTCGGGGTCCCTGCGCTGAGAAGCTCCTAGACCAGGGAAAGATTGATGACAAGGCCTTCCCCCAGAGCCGACAGAGAGAGAAAGCCTTTCCCTAGAGTTGGAGCCCTGAATTTGGACTTCTAGCCTCCAAATCTGTGACAGAATAAATTTCTGTTTGTTGAAGTCATTCACTTGTGGTATTTCTGTTATAGCAGCAATAGATTACTAACCTGCTGCTATCGAGTCGATTCCAACTCATAGATAATGAAGACACTCCAGAAAGAATCCCATTCTTCCAATTAGTAGACCTGCACTAACAAAAAACTGTACTCAATTATTATTATTATAATTTCAGCAATAAAAAATTGGTGGAAAGTTTTTTTTTTTCTTGTTACATAAGGGCCTACATAATATCCTTGATTTTGCTTCTTAGCCCACGAAGCCTAAAATATTTATTATCTAGCCCTTTACAGAAAAAGTTTGCTGGCCTCCGGTATAAATAAACCATAGTTGTTTTTTTAACCATGTCCCTATTTATGGACATTAAAAATGTCTCCAATATCTTACTATTACAAATATTCCAGTCCATATGACCTTGTGAACTGTGCTTTACTTCTGGAAGAAATATTAATTGAAGAGAAACTGAAAAATCAAAGGGCATACATGCTAACTCATCTAGGATTTATTTTTGGGCATTCTGTGAAGTAGGGATCTAATTTTCTTCTATTGTGGTAAAAATATATTTAATATAACATTTGTTAATTCAGTATTTTTTACATGTATTATTCAGTGACATTGATTATATTGGTCATGTGTGGAACCATCAACAGTATCCACTGCCAAATTTTCCATCACCATTAACAGATACTCAGTGCTTCCTAAACAATGACTCCCCTGTACCCTCTCCCTCTGACCCCCAGTAACCACTAATAAACTTTGGTTCTTACACATTTGCCTGCTCTAGATATTTCATATAAGTGGGATCATACAATATTTGTCTTCTGCAACTCACTTTACTCAGCATAATGCTTTCAAGGTTCATCCATAGTGCTGGAAGTATCAGGACTTCATTTCTTTTTATGGCTGAGTAGTATTCCATAGTACATATGTACCACATTTTGTTTATCCATTTATCTGCTGATGGATATTTAGGCTGTTTCCACTCTTTGGCTACAGAATACAGCTGCAATGAACACTGGTGCACATGTGTCTGAGTCGCTGCTTTTAAGTCTCTTGGGTATATACCTGGGAGTGAAATTGCTGGGTCAAATGTTAGTTCTATGTTTAACTTTTTGAGGAACCGATAAACTATTTTTCACAGTTGCTGTACCGTTTTGCATTCCCACCAGCAATGGATGACGGTTCCTATTTCTCCATATTCTCACCAACATTTGTTGTTTTCCTTTTTTTTTTAAATCTAGCCATCCTATTGGGGTGAAGTGGCGTCTCACTGTGGTTTTGATTTACATCTCCCTATTGGTTAATGGGAACCCAGGTGGCATAGTGGTTAAGAGGTCAGGCTGGTAACCAAAAGGTTGGCAGTTTGAATCCACTAGCCACTCCGCTCCTTGGAAACCCTATGGGGCAGTTCTACTCTGTCCTATAGGGTTGCTATGAGTCAGAGGCAACTCGACAGCAATGGATTTGGTTTTTTTGTTTTCTTAATGATTAAAGACATTGAGCATCTTTTCACTGGCCATTTGAATATCTTCTTTGGTGCACTGTTTATTCAAGTCCTTTGCCCTTTCTTTAAAAAAAACTGAAATGTTTGTCTTTTCGTTGTCAAGTTGCAGGAGTTACTTATACATTCTGGATATTAAACCTTTATCCAATATATGGTTACTCAAAATTATCTCCCAGTCTGTAGGTTGTCTCTTCACTTTGTTGTTAAAGTCCTTTGTTGAATAAAAGTTTTTAATTTTGATGAGTTTCCATTTATCTATTTTGTTTTTAGTCGCTGATGCTTTTGGTGTTGTATCTAAGAATCTACTGTTAAAAACTAGGTCCCAAAGCAATAACTCTATGTTTTCTTCTAAGAGTTTTATGGTTTTAGTTCTTACGTTTAGGTCCTCGATCCATTTTGAGTTAATTTTCATATACGGTATAATTCAGCAGGTGTGGATTATTCAATAAGTTATGGAAGCACAGGCTTACTTGTGCTTATTTACTCATCTGTAGTGAACAATTCCACATTTTTTTCACCTAATCAAAGCTTCTGCTTCTAGGTATGACTGGCATCTGTCTCTCTTCCAACCCCACAGCACCTTCCCACAGAATCAAAGTCTCTTTTCAAATTTACAATCCCTGTCAGGGATAGATTACCCAGTAGCAAGGTAAACCAGATTAGTAAACACGATAAAGTAAGGCCGTGCTTACCTTGATTATTGGGTAATCTGCCCCTGGGTGTGACGTATGAGAAGTAGGGATCTAATTGTACTATTTTTCCCAAATGCATAGCCAATGATCCTGCAACTGTGCTTTGAGTAATTCATCCTTATCCAATAGTCTAAAATGCCATATTTTCAAGTAGCAAACACTGATATTTACATGGCTATATTCCTGCATTCTCTATTTTGGCCCATAGTCTATTCTTCCACTAGTACCATGCTGTTCTAATTACTGTTGCTTTACAGCATGTTTAGATATTTAATAGGCAAGTCCCCTTAGTATATTTCTTTTTCAAAAACTTCTTTGCAATTCTAGAACATTTCTTTTTGACATTCCAGAGGCAATCAATTTCAAGGTTTTTGGCTTTTTGTTTGGTATTTTTCTAAATAAATTCTGAATAACATACTTTTAATG